AAAATTCACTTTCATTGGGCTTTGCGAAAATTTTCAAGTGAACTCAAGTTTTAGATACCTTGGCTGAGTTAAAACCATCGGTCGTAACATTTACGGGCGTGCCAACTAATTTCAGACGTTCAACGAGTGCCGCGGAAACCCAAGAATGAGTGGAACCGGTGTCACAAAGTGCTAGTGCATTCGAATTTTCCGAACCAGAGGACACATCTACCAACGCAACGGGAAGAATACCTTTTGCAGTTCCCTCACAAGGTTTAACACAAGCTGCGTTATTTGCAGAAGTAGTGTTTGTATTAGTTTGAGTCGATGGTGATCGGTCAGCCTCTTTGGGCGGGAAAACTTTCTCGGCTCCATGAAGAAGCACATTGTGAGTGTTCTCACAGTCCTGTTTTGGGCATTTTCTTGCCTTTTGGCACTTTCAGAAGGTATGGTTGCCTTGTAAACAAGAAAAACAGAGCTTTTGTTCTGCTACATATTTAGCCATTTGTGTTGCGTTTTTCTCTTTGAACACGGAACAGTTCCAGAGTGCATGCTGCCCTTTGCATAGCGAGCATGGAGGAAACCTTGTCTTTTCTCTACTTTTCTCATCCTTAGAACTTACCTTAGTGTTACCTGCAAGCACTTTTGTAACTACTTTTTGTTTAACTGGTTCTTCAGACTTACCCTTAGAATTGATCGTTTTCAGCCTCTCATGACCCTCCGCTTTTTCTTTGAGCCATTCATTGAAATCTAGCAGAGTTGGTCTATGCCATTGGCGTCTTACGGTTTGCATCGACCATGCCTCCTTAAGGTTCGGGGGAAGCTTACTCACAGCCTGATTCAGTAAGTTAACACTTTTCAGGTCGTCGTTAAAAGACAGAGACTTGAATACGGCAACAAGTCCAGAAATTGCAGAGGAAAATCCAATTACATTTTCCGAGTTATGCATTTTCAGCGGCGGAAACTTACTCAATTTATCTAGGTGAGCCCCTACTACAGCATGCGGCTGCCCGAATTTTCTTTGAAAGTTGCTAATGCGTCTTTATATAGTACTCCGCTATAGCTGTACTCAGCGATTGCGGATTTTGCTTTACCCACTACGAGCGTTTTCAGATAGGTAAGCTTTTCATCGTCACTGAGTATGGCTGAATCGACCGTCGATGTGAATTGCCCAAACCACTCATGCCAATTAAGTGGGTTGCCATCGAACTGGGTCAGCTTCCACTCAGGGAGATGATCTTTTTGGCTGTGCATGAGTATATTAACCAACTCTCGTGTCAAAAGTGGACGCTCGACGTCTGCACCAGGTGAATTACCGGGAGTTGGCTCTGTGTAATTCGAAGAGTTACCGTGACAATCAGGAACGAACGGTTGATTAGCATGTGAAAAGTTTTCAGGCTGCGCAAAGAACACAGTCCCTCCACTTGTATAAGGAACAAAATTATTCGTAGGAACAATCGGAGTTACTGCGGAAAAAACAGTTGTCGAAGGAACGTAGTGCTGTTGAGTTGACATTAAAGGGGTAGCAACAGCTGGTCTCCACAAATTACTATAAGGGTTGTAGTGGTCACTTGAAAAGTTATAACTACTAACGGGAACACCCATATGTTGTTCTGATGGGGCTACAGGTGCTTGGTAGCCAGCTACTACTGATCTTGCAGTGTGATGACTTAAAGAAACATGATTAACTGCTGTTGATGCAGGAACAAACGGTGTTACACCAGAAGGAACTTCTGCAGATGATGGCGGAGCAAAATAGTTTTCAGAAGTTACCGGGACTACTGAACCTGTGTTTGGATTGCCTAGCACCGGATGAGTGGACAAAAAAGTTTGCTGAGGCAAATTATTAGAAACAGGTTGAATGACCTGCTGTAACCCTACTGGATTGTTAACGGAAACCTGCGATCGGACCAAATTCGACAAATTATGATGTTGTCCGTGAATGTGGTTACTGTAATACAATCCCGGATCACTAGAAGCTGCGTGGCCGTTATTCACGCCTGTAAAACTTGATGAGACCAAGTAATTTGTTGATGCAGGATAAGTTGCCTCAGGAGCTGTTGAACGAACGTGCTGCTCTTGATTGGGAACTACAACAGCATCAGGCTGATTGTGGTCGACAGATTCTACCCAGTGACGCGTACGATCCTTTTCGTCTATTGATAGTTGTGGAGAGATTCGAGTTAAACCACTTTCCTCAGCATTCTCACTGATTTCCGACAACTCATCTTCTAACTCAAGCCCTTTCAACTCAATTTCTGCCAGTTTTTTCCTGTGTTCCTCAGCCAATTCTTCCAACTCTAAACGGCTTTGTTGTTCTTTCAGTCTTAATGATACCTTTGCCTGCCTCTCAAGTTCCTCTTGTTGTTTCTTTAAAATCATTAATTCGCGCTTTTTCTCAGAAAGTGTTTTCGACGGAGCGGCGGTATAACTAGATTTCTGAGAGCCCGATTGCTGATGTCGGCTGCTTCGATGCGACAACTTAGAGCGGGTATCTGTTTTATGCGACCGGGGCTTTTCACTTTTTTCAGAATGATGAGAAACTTTTGAGCTGCTATCAATTTTGTCCGGCTCTGTTACTGCCTCAAAACTTGTTTTATATGTGATAGCTTCCTGCAAAACTTTATGGTTGCTTTGAGTCAACTTATGAAGCCACATATCCTGTGCCGGTATCAATTCGTCGGGATTGGCACTTTTTGCAGCCATATCAATCAACTCAGTATTTATCTCGACCGCTTGCTCTATATAGTTCCTACATTTTTCAATATAAGTATCAATTTTTGAGCAACGACTCTGACTCTCTATGTATTCTAAAATTATCTCGTGGCATTTACAAAGTTCGTTTTCGAGAGTGCAACGTTTCTCAAACAACTTCTTAATTTTCTTCTGAAACTTAACTTCCATGCTTAATAATTTCAGAAATAAACGACTCTCAGAACATACTGTATTTTCACTCAAGTAAATCCACAAACTTTTACCTGGCGTTAAAGTTAAAGCTTAAACTGGGCTTTGTGAAACAAGTCTTTTTCACGCGCTTTTGGGACGGTGCGGATAGTATACGGAGCGCGTGATCCAAGAAACTAGCTCCTAGAATGAATACCATACACTCAAGAGACCTATGCGTCGGCTACGTTACGCTAAAGTACCAATGGGGTGGGGAAATTAAGTAGGTAGGTTGAACTCCAACAACGCACACGGAGTAAACCTGAGGATGAAAGAATTCAACTTAACTCACTTAATATCACCGTACTTGACCACTTAACATTAGTGTCGCGCAACGAAGTCAATAATCGGACGGGCTGAAACGGCTTATATTTACTTGAAGCGAACTGGCTCACAGTTTCATCAATGTGGGCGGGGGAGCAGGCAAATTGGTTAAGTTCCAACAACACACGCGGAAAAAACCTGAGGATGAAAAAACTCAACTTAATTTGCCTGATATTTCGCTACCAGACTACTTACAATAAGGTTGGTGTCATGTTACAGCACAGTTTCGCAGAATTATGGGGACGTTTTAACGAATTTTTTGGCGATTTTTTACTTTTTTCCCAAAATTTTTCGAAAACGTTGGTCAGCAGGTTCGAGTCGTAAACCAATCCAAAAAACTAGTCTAGTACCCCTTGTCTATGATCCGATTTTTTGGATTTTCAATCCGCTCACAATTACCCAAAAATTTGTGGTATCGGGAAAATTACCACTTGTAGCTTGCTTTGAGTTGGGATACACAATAAGACACCGTATGTAATTTTATTGCACAAAAAAGTTTATAGATGAGTCTTACAGTTTTTTGACGATTTTGGAGATTTTCGGCACCGGAAGAAGTTTCTCTCTCACGAGTCGGAACAACTGCACTCACGAGCCTAGCAGCTACACTCACAAGTAGATCCGACCCAACTGTGCTGAAGAGTCTGAACACGTGAACTCACAGAGTCTTCAATCCACGTAACCTGAAGTGCTCTCTGAAGTGCTGTCTCGTTCACCTGTACAACTGCACCCACAGAGTCTTCAACTCACAATAACACCTGAAGTGCTGTCTCGTTCGCCTGTTTGGGGAGTCAATAGTTTCACTGCTTTGGTTAACTTACACCGTCGCACATCAACTGGCAATGGTAATACCTGCTTCACTTCGGTTAACTGACACCACCGCGAATCAACAAGTAATGGTAATATCTGCCAAATAGGGATCGGTAGCGGCTTAATTCAACCTGGGTGACGCCGTCGCATATCAACCGGCAGTGGTAATATCTGCTGAGTAGTGATCGATATCGGGTCTTCACGAACACTAATTGCAACGAATACACTAACAAATTTTCAAAGGTTCTAATTTGTGTTTAACCTTTTGCTCCCCCACTACCAACGAGGCTTATAGCGTATGAAAATACGAATACGAGCAATAATTCTGGGGAAACACAAAAAAAGTGTCCCTTGTGGGGCGCCAAAATGTGCGCGTCAATCTCCAAGATTATAAAAAAAAAACGGTTTTTAAACACTTTAATTAATGAGTATTTTCTCGGCAAAATAACTCCGGAAATTTGAAAATATAAGGATAATTTATAATGTTTAACAAGCTTTATCATCGGTAACATCGGCCACAATAAACTGCATAACTCAAAGCAAGCTGCAAAAATGGCCAGTATTTGTCCTTGAGACAAACTGCTCTTTTTAAAGGTCAGCCTTAACCAAGGCTGAACCAAATTAGAGCGAAAAGACGGTTAAAATGGGTTTTGGGGGGACCGAACCTGGTTACGGAGCATCCCATCAAGTTCGGTGCGCATTCGAGTTCTAGAAAGGAAATGACCTAGGCGGGATTCGAACCGGCGCCGAAACCGCCGGGACGCACCATGTATACGCTCGGCTACTGTCCCTATATGCAAAACAAATGAAACCCTACTAAATTTGCTAAAATTCTAAGCAAGTTTTATGCTCATCATTTTTCACCTAAATTTAACCCAACTTGAAGTCCCGTCGGCCTGTTGTCCTAGACCCAGGAAAAAGCGCACGGACTGTTCGATTGACCATACCTTTTTGTGCCAGGTGCGTTGATTGATGGCGAGAAGTGACACCAGCGTAGCCCCCGTGCCAGCCCCCACCACTGTGATCTTGGACTGGTTGCCTCGGAACGAGTGGATGTTCTCGTGCACCCACTCCAGCGCCATCTTCACATCATACAGGGCCACGTTGCCTGTGAACAGAAGTTTAATATGCAATGGATATGATGTAATTTAGGTTTTGAATTACGTAATTGATGGTAACTCAATTTGCGTTGAGTGTGAGTCATAATCGTTCCCTGTGTGACCAACAGTCGCTCTCAAAAATGTGTTAGACCTGTTGTTCCGACTTTTTTTCTAAAAAAAACTTTAGTTTCAATTACACCTATATAATTCTTACTCTTTTGATGATGGTATAGTCCAATCTAGGGCGTTGTATAAAGTGCAAGTTAGTAGAAACTAGCTCCAGCTAGCAATTGTTAATTTTACTTGTAAATTAGAATAGTTTCAGTTTTATGATGGGAATGGGGTGTTGAGACGAGATGTCTGAGATGATTTTTCTGAGGCTTCTCTGAAAATCAGAATTACTTTGTTCAATAAAATTTTTTCATGAGAGATATTTTTGATACTTGTTTTACTTGAAATGACATTATGTTATGGAAATTTTAAATTAAATGTCTAAGGGAACTTCAGACTGGGATCTTTTTTCGGGACTTTGATGAATTTTTCTGATATGATTGTTCATGTTGACATAGACTGTATGGGCTGAACGTGTTTTATTTTCAGAATATGTTCATTTTTAACATAGGGCCTTTTCAATCGATGATTTTCTAAATCAACATTCTGCCGGGGATTTGCTTGAAGAGTTATCTGGAAATGGGTATTATTTGGCTAACGGCGGTCTCAGAACTGGAATTGAAGATAAATTGATTAATTATATAAACAGGAGAATGTTTGAGTTTGGATCTATACTAGAAACAATTTACTATTAATATCGTTCCGTTTGTTGAAAATGGGGAGGAACTTTGTATTCGGAGGAGTTTTAGTTTTTTACTTCAAAATTTTGTTCTCCACGCAAAATGAGGAACCACAAATAATCAGCGGACTGATTTTTCGTCTAATTTCGAGCGAGCGAGCAGGCTTACATTAGCTTATTTATGCTTAATTTAAACCTTGAAAATATCAAGTGAAATTTTTTTCAAGTGAAATTAGTTTTTGGATTTCTAGAATTTTTTTTTAAGCTTGAAAAACTTAAACTTTTTTTACGAGTTTTTTTCGTGGTTTTTAGCTAATTTTTTCTACAAAAACTGTCGCATATCCCTAAATTCTAGTTTTTCGTTCAGATTCTTCTATCACACCATGAAGAAAAATGACACTAATTTGAAAAAAAAAATTGAAAAAAAAAACTACCTATAAAAGCCTTTTTTTTGTTTTGTTATTTTTCTTCAAAAATTTGCCTGCAGCGCAGAAATTTTGGTCAAATTTGAGTGTATATAGTGTTCTGGGAGAACTAGAAAAATCATTTTGGTCGACCGAAAAAAATTGACAAAACTGATAAATATTTTTTTGAAAGTCCACCCCTTCATCTGGAGAAAATCCTAGATCCGCACCTGAATATTATTATAATTCTGATGATTTTTGTGATTTTTTTCATAATGTGAAAGTGAATCTTACTGCCGTTGAAGTATCCGAGGAGTCCGGATCTGAAAGCGACGGTGACTACAAGGAGGTCGTTGCTCCACGACTGCCCACTCCCACTCATCAGGGGATCCTCCGGTCTGTTCATGTAGAAGTCCTCCTCATAGATCACCACCTGCACAATCATAGCACACACACAACTAAAACTAAACTACCCCCTCCCCCTCCTCTCACAAGTGAGAATTTATTAAGAGGAATAAGTTTGATCATTTTTTGGAGGGTAATGGACCATAATGCACCACTAGATCCAGTAATAGGAGCACTTTGATTATATAATCGTAAGAAAAACTCTAAAAGTAGAAACTGAGCAGCAATTTATAAGCATCTATAGCGAATTTTTTTTCTCAAAACTGTAAAGTGAATTAAAATTAGTCATTAAACAACAAGGTAAATCATTGCTTGCATCAAAAACTAAAAAAAATGGGGATGGGGGGAGGTTATTTTGAGTAAAGAGAGCAGATGTTTAAAATTATTTTTTCTACAAATGTACTTAGCAAGTTTAATTAATTTATTTAAATGATTAAATCAATTTTAAGTTTTCATGCCTCGTAAAAGCACTCGTAGTTTTGACTCGTAAAAGCAACTGAATAAAAAAAATACGCCGGGACAACAAACGCGAACGCAAAATTTTATAGTCAAACAGAAAAAACTGTGTCAAAACGTTCACATTTTTCAGTATTCCTTCTGCTAATTGAAAGTGATAACAGTTTATTAATGGATTTGAACCAGCAACCTACTGATTGAAAACTATAAATCGCTAATCGAGCGGACGTTTTTATCTCTGAAGGATTCAATCCCCTGCCGTCCCACCTTTGTACTATTTTAATATATCCATTTTTGGCTGGCGGACACTAAATTTTTTCTAAAGAAACCTTCGGCGAGAATATATACTGAACTTTAGAGGAAAGCGCGCGCCGCTTTCCTCTAAAATTGCCTAAAACGCCTTTTTTGGTGCCTAAAACGCCTTTTTTTGGTCTGTTTTATAAAACTTTCGCCAGAAATTTTGGTAAAATAGGGTCTTTATAAAAATTCTTGAGAGCCTGGAAAATCATATTGGTCAACCTAAAAAAGGTCAACAAAATTTCGAAATCTTTTTGAAAATCTGCCCCCTCCCCTCGAGAAAATCTTAGATCCGCCCCTGATCAAAACAGTGCAAAAAAGTTATACAATTTTGAATTTCAACCCGGGTTATGAATACTCACCAGTACACTTAAGTAATGATTATTCGGGTTGTCGCCTCTGGACGGAAACGCCGGTCTCCATATATTCAAGTACAGACAGTCGGAACTAGTGGGGACCCTGGATTGGTTGTACTGGTCTCTGCCCTCGAATGATGCTGTGAGGGGGGACCAGGAGAACTGCGGACAGGGGGGCTTGAAATTGATTCCGTCAAGTACGCCCGCGTATTTCTCCGTCCACCTCTCAGGACGCTCAAATCTTTAAAAGAAATAAACTTCTTTCTGTAAAATGCAATATTGTGCAAAATTTGTCTTCTTTCAACATCACTGCGGGTCCATTTTTTCTATTTTTTTCAGATAAAAATCAAAGATTCCACATATTTTTTTTTGCCTGTTTTTGCTTCAGTGGTTGTACACACGTAGACTTAAGATTTTAGCAGAAAAAAAATTTTTTTTTTAAATTTCAGTATAGGTTTTTTTGTAGATTTTGGATGTTTTTTTTTAATTTTAGGTCGTCCAGATTGATTCTGCGATATCAACTCGGCCAATGAAAAGTCAATATTTTGCCCCTTCGCAAATTCCTAGACTCGCTTTTTTTGGATATTTGACTTTGAATTCAACAGTAAATTTTGATCATAAGTTAAACGAAACTTTTATTTAATTTTTTTTAAAATTTATTATTTAAATGTTTAGTTTTTGAATTTCTTGTCATCATCAAAAACTACTCTGGTTTTTGATACATGCCCTCATGAACTGTTTGTGTTTATGAGGTGGGGCTTCATGGTAAAATATATGAGTATGAATAATCACAACCTTTTTATTCCCACTGGTGTTTTGGCGTAGGGTATTCCCCCATAGAATTCCTGGTCCATCTTGTTGTTCGGGTCATAATCCTGTCTGCCCTGAATGGGGCCAAACTTTGTATGGATCAGCGGAACTAAATAAAAGCACGCATAGTTAAATAACTAATCGATTTGAACAACTAAATTTGTTGATTGGTCAGCCCGTAGATCAGAATGCTCCGATTGCCAATATACTTGCAAAAAATTAGAAAAAAAATCAACAGCAAATATAACTCGGAAATTATCGAGGCAAACTTTTTCAAATTTGGTTAAGATTAGACAAGAAAACAAGCCAACAGCAGCTGCTTAGAATTTTGTCAGAATTACTAAGGTGCAATCTGTTCTGCTAAAATCGGGCCTAAAATTTAACTTTAAACTGGGTCAGTTTTGGCCTGCTTTAGTCAATCTACAATTACGTTTTAACTACCTGATCATGCGATAAACAACCAAAAGAAAACAAGGTCTAACAGAGCCGCCCAAACAACTATAAGAAGGGTGTATTCTCCGTGCAAACAGAAGAGTATAAAACGAAGGGTAAAAATACTGCACTTTTTGCGTGATTATGATCCCTAAAATTTGTTGGGCTTCATTTTGAGGCTCACTTTGATATAGGCTCCTTATCGATTGTATCGATTGAACCAGTAGTTTGAACATAATCTTCGATTGATTAAAACAGGCCAAACATATTTTAATACCAGCTGGATGGACGCAAACTTCCAAAATAATTTGCACCAAAATAATTTCGGAAAAATTTTTACACAACTTTTGACTATTCTCAACCCAAACTGGAAAAATCCGTTTGAATTGTCAATTTTGTTTGTATATATATATATACACAAACAAAATTGACAATTCAAACGGATTTTAACTGCCTTTTTTGTGTTTGATCGACAGAGGTTTCATTAGGGCCCGTGATAAAGATTAATAACGATTGGTATGATTTTTCCAAAACACGTTGGCTTAGGTCACGAGTTGAAGCCTTCAGTATGACTCCCCTGTCGACCAAAACTTACAGTTTTTTTAAAATATGCTTAATGTTTTCCGAAGGTCATGCAAGATTTTTGCGACATCTTGCGAAAAAACGAACTCTAAAATTAGACACAGTTTCAGTTATTTTTTTTAAAGCAATCGAAAGATTTTTGAGAGGAGACAGCCAAGTAGCGTTGATGAAAAAATACAGCTATTTATATACAAGCATTCGCATACACAATACAGACTTGTACGCGATTGCACGCACAGGCTAATTTTGTGTTTAGAATATTTGTCGTAATTAGGCTATGTACTTTAGGTTTGATGAAGGAGTTACAATAGTTGAAACTTTTAAAAATCAAAGGTAGAAAACACAAAAAATTTGACGACATTTTTTGTGAGTTATACGGAGAAGAGATTGATGATATATGTTTTTTTTCAAAAAAGCTCAAAAAAACATTATATTGTTTAATCGTAAGCATTTGAATACAACAAAAAAAACATCCCTAGGTAATTGAAATTATTGATTTAAATGGCATTGTATTGAGTTTGAACCGCTATGCGAAGTTGAAGGATCTGTTGCAGAAGCTGTAAAATTTAAAATGCACATTTATATCCGCAATTTGAAACTTTTTATTTTTACGAGAGCCCGAAATTTACACAGATGGGGACATTTTTGTTAAATTTTTCTCTTGTGGACCTTTTCTGACGGTAAACTCAAATTTTTTTGTTACCCAAAATTTTACTTTAAATCTTACATTATATATTTCAAAAATGCTGCCATAGAAACTCTGTGGAGCTGCTTAAGTAAGTGATTATATCAATAAATCGGTTAAAATTTTCTCGTGGTTATTGAATAGTTTTAGAAAATTTGAAGTTGTTTTTATGTTTTCCAGTTTTTGTTCCGACTTTTGAAGAAAGTGACGGTATATTTGTGCTCGATGTGCTTATTTTTCTCCATACAAAATTCGACTTTTTTACTGGCGGGGATTTTTTAAAACATCATTGCAAAGTACTGTTGCCCTAAGCTCAAATTTAAAAAGAACTTTCACCTGCAATCGTTTTGTGTGAAATTGCGTAAATTAAATTTGGACAATTTGGTCAATTTGAGACAATTAACGCGCGATAATACTCGTGCTATTAACGCGTAAGTGGAAATTTAATCTACATAAAAATTCGATCCAATTTGGATTGAGGCAAGCTTGTTCGTCTGTTATAAAATATCAATTTGTACTTTAAATAGCGTGTGGAAGGTGGTTTTCAAAAAACATTTTTTGAAATTTTTCATTTTTATCCTTTCATCAATCATTTCATCAATTTCATCAATCATTTTATTTCAAATGAGTCCACAGAACATTAAAAAAATCAGAACATTTAGGGTTTTACCCTGATACGACCAGTTTTGTTCGTTTTCATTGTTTTTTTTAACTGATCGGAGAAAGTAATGGTAGTTGGGTGGTCTTTATTCTAAAATTTTGGATTAGCTTACGAAATTTTCAATTTTCTGTTCGGCAAAAGCAACTGCGGCAATTTAACCAGCTCATGATTCAATCCAAAAAAGACAAAGCCCTTGATTCAAATATTGTAGTAACTGACGCAAAATTTCTCTTTGTGAATCATCAGGGGAAAGCTAGATCAAAGAATTTTTGTAAAAACCAAACTAACTCTTTTTGTCTACGACAGTTTCAGATAATCATAGAGAAGTATCGGCTTTTAAAGCTTCATCATGATATGAGCAGCCATTTTATATTCTGGACTAAATTGCCGCTTAAGCCGTAAAAGAAAAATGACAGAGTTCGACCAAATTTCCGTGGTCGAAAAGACCCTATAGTTGAACTCAAAGTCGGAACTTAAAATCAATCTGTTGAAACGAAATCGAAAAAAAAAACCGAAACATAAAACCCAACGCAATTTGGAACATAAGATCGAAACTTGAAGTCGAGCCGGTCGAAATATAAAGTCAAGCACAAAGCAAAGCAGAAGTATACATTCTCAAGCATTAAGTCGAAACAAAAAGTAGGAAACAAATTAGCAGCATGTTCGAACTCAAAATCAAAACGGTTGAAAAAAATCAACTGAATTTTGCTTTTTTGTTGGTTTTTTGCCTTTAAGACAGAAGCAAATAGAAAGTATATATGTCCAGGCAGCTAGATAGTTTGCCGATCATATACAGGATTGCAATGAGAAGGCCTATACATGATCCCAACATCAAGTATAACATCAAACTCCATCAAAATCTTTGGTCGATCTCAGTCGAACTGTTTTTCCTCGATCGAACACAATCGAAACGTTTTTCCTCCAACGCAACTGAAATGTTTTTTTTTCGGTCAAAAATATTTTTCAGTAAAAACAAAACTGCTGGGTCAAACTTGACGAGAAACCGCCTCAATTGCAATTTTTTGTTGCTTTTGAACAGCCGAAACTTAAATAAGTTGAGTTGAGGCGGTCAAAATGGGTCAAATTGATGGAAACATACATCACAAAACTCGTTTCGGCATACTACTTTTTCAATCCAAAATTTTCACGCTGGGGTTTCTAGTTTGGTTCGTTGGTACAAAAATATTTGAACAGAGTTCTACTTACGAAATCGTGTGCTCTGAAAGAATTGACGCTCAATGTATGGGAAAAATCCTCCGCCGAAAAAGGTACTATCATACGCAAAACAGGAGCCCAAAACAACAGCGACATAACATAGGGTAAACAAAACTGCCATCACTCGTAAACACAAAGTAATTTCAAGGATAGTTGTCTGACATTTACATTATCAGGTTAATTAAGCAAGAGGTCGGTCTGCTAAAAAGAAACAGGGGCACGTTTGTGATTTTGGGATATTTAACAACGACAGGGTATAATGACGTTAACTAAAATAAAACAAACTGTCAATTCAGCCCAAAATTCACCCGGGAATTAATATCCAACAGGGTTTAAAGAGAAACAAGGGAATTGTTGCGTGGGGATTTAAGATGCAGTTTCATTATCATTTCAGCGGGACGCCCGCGGGTTTATCGGAACCCCGAGATCCTAGACGACAGAGGCACATCCGGTATGATTTACCCAATTTTGGTAATGCCCCATTCATTAAACCACTCCATCTAAATTAGTGAGTATAAAGGGGCTCTATATTTTTTTTACAGGTGGGCGTACGGAGGAGCGAGAGAGATAGAGAGGGGGAGGGTTCGAGAAAAAAAACGTTTATTTCAAATAATTTTGATTTTTCTGCAAAAGGCAAGATAGCGGCGCTGGTGATGCAAAAACAGCAAAGCGAAAATATGTTAATTGACATTAGTGACATTTCAAACTTAGTTAGTCAACTGGTTACTGCTGCTTTTGTAATTCGGTTTGGCGGTCGGCTGGCGTCGCTTAGGCGAGCTAACATCTCTGCTTCAATGGTACAATAAACATATACTAGAGGCAATAAAAGTCCCTGCAATCAACAAGATAATCTATTTTAGGGCAGATTCCCTCTGATAATCTTGTCTTAAGCTTTGTGAGTATACAAAAATTTCTAGTCTCATAGCAATTTATTCTCAAGTCATCCCAGTTTTTGAATGTGTGTCAAATTTTTCGACGACCAGTTTTCTTCGGGTGCTTAGGGATATAATTTACCGGGGATCGGTTGTAAAAAAGAATCATTTTAGAGATTAAAACCAAAATGACTTGTCTTTCAATTTTCAGCTATATGGAGATTTGACAGCTTGGAATATTTTGACGTCACCGCCGAATTTTGTCGTTTGTCAAAAAACGACCAAAAAAGGTTGCTTATCGGTTATAATCTAAACATGTGTCGTCTATGAATGGCTATGAAGTTAGACGCTTCATAGGATCACATGTCCTGTGGGAGACTAGAACACAATCGCTCTTTTTGCAACAGTCGGTTAATCGGGATTTTGGGCGGCCGCTTTTTCTTTTGACTGTCAGAGATAATTCTCTTTAAAAGTATGATTAGCTTTATTTTAGAAACCAACTGCTCCAAGCGCACTTTTAAAAAGACTTAGAAGAAAACAAGACGTAGTCAGGCTACCAGAAATACTGAGCCATTTAATTGGAGCTTGAAAAAAACCGTCCGGACTTTAAAGGCTTGATTAAAAATGTCATCCTAAATTCCACGTCTATCAGATTAAATATTGCAGGGTAGAGAAAAAAGGATGAACGAAAATGAGTATTAATCACCCAATTTTGGCTGAAACTTGTCACTTAATTGTGGGGGTGAACTTGACATTGTACTGGAACGTCAGAAGATCGCTTACTATGAACAATTTGACTCTAACAAAGTTGTAACTGAAGGTTTAATTTTTTTTTCTTTTTCATTTCTCTCTTTTTCCTCGTTATAACTTATAATTATGTTACTGTTTCATGCTCCTTTCATAGTAGGGCAGCACCCAGTAACCCCAATGATTTCGTCAGCTGTCCACGCTCAGTTTCACTTTACTGCGAAATGTTGCTTGAAATGTGATTTTTTGAAAAGTAGTGCAATTTGATTTTAAAACTCAGTTGTACCACATTTAAAAACTGTACAGAAAAGAATTAATAAACGCTTCGGACTCTGTTAACTATTGCCCCTTTTCGCAAGAGGGATTTTGATACAAGGCACAAAACTTGTGTATGCTCAGCTGTTCAATTCATTCTTAAATGGCGGAAGTTCGTTACCATAGGGGGAATAGTTAACAAAAACCAGAACTTCTTAAAAAATGTTAATTTTTTTTGTTTTTTTTTTGTAGATAATTAGTATGGTTCCAACTTTTTTTATTTTGTTTTAAACAACAGCCAGTTACATGTGATATAACTTGTTTCAAATATGAAATTTCATCTATTCTTTCTCGGATCCTGGTTTTTAATTGATCCGTTTTTTTTTCTCGGAGAACCACAATTTATCAAACTTTCCATGTTTCATTGGAATACTGTTTCGACTTTTGAAGCGAATGATGAAAATCTGCGCATTTTTCCAATCAATTTCGACTTTTTAATTAAACCACTTTTGAGCGGAGTTTAGTAAATCATTTGAATTGCTTAAGAGCTCAACAATTTTTATAAAATATACAAGGTGTTATCAAACTTGCTTTTTATAAATCCTCTCTCATTTACTAGTATTTGGATTATGGATGTGATTCTTCTTGCTGTGGACAGCAAAAAGTCACCAATTTATGATGATGTAAATCAATGTGTTGGGTTTTCTTGTTCACACATTTCTTTGCGGAATTTATTGAAAATTCATTGCAATTGTGCTGATCAAGCTACTATAAGGATGTAAACTGGGTCATTTATAGTTATCATTACATCAATTGACCCTGTTTACCACCCTAAATTTGAACCAAATGACTTGACTCGTTTTATGGGTTTAATTTTGATTCAAAGTTTTTCAAAAATAATTGCACTATAAAAAAGCTGGTAAAAATTCAAGCAATTTTTGTGGTCATTTCCAAGCAATTTTTATTGGCCAAATAAAACCTAATTGAGAAAAACGAGTGTGAATATTCTGTTTTATTTTTATTCACCCGATTGTTTTGATTCAGCTCAAAAGTAGCTTGTTCGGCACAAAATGCAGTAAAAGTTCATTAAATTGCGCAAAAAAAATGCATGAACGAAAAGTTCAACTCAATAAATTATATCATTAGAATTCGGCGAATTTTTGCTGTGAACTGCAGCGAATTACCTCAATAACCCAATTACTTCAATAACCCAATAATCTTGAAATGAGAGATGATCTATAAAAACAAGTTTTGACGCCCTGTACTTTACCTGTGATCATTTTGTAGTGTATGCGGTTTTGAAAATTGCAATTTTGACAACTTTAGGAAATTTAACGAGAATAACTTTTGTGACATTAAGAAGTAGTCGGCGACTTACCTAGCTCTGAAAATGTTCCAAATACTATTGAGACATACTATTTTGTCTGGTAAAACCTATTCGGGTTGGTAAAAGCTATCAAGTCGGTAAATGCATCAGTTTTAAAATAGAATTTAAATCAAAACTTAAATAAATTTGAATCAAAACTTTCAATGTTTTGTTTTAAAAATTTTGTCTATTAAAGAAAGAAGGCTTCTGGAATCAAGTTGAAACCCTGAGGGTTCTAGCTGCTCCACAAAATCAATGAAAGAATTTTTTCTTTCAAAAAACGCTTTTAAAAACTTAAAGTTGACAAAATTTCCAAAAAAAAGATATTTCTATAGATTTGAAGTGGCGTTTAGACGCTAGCAAAATCACCAGCGTCTAGTGATGAGTTCATAATTCCAACTAGCTTAGCTCCCGTCAATTTGGAAAAATATCTGAGTCAGATTAAATCGCCGCAAGTTTTCGTTCTTTATGAATTTTCAAGATTGCTTTGTAACTGCCGATGAAAAAGTCAATTTTAGCGAGAGCTGTTCGGGTTTTTGAAGACAGGATGGAAATATTGTGAGTAATGTAGTTTTGCAGACAATTTTTGACTTAGCTACTTTTTAGCGGATTTTTCTATACCATCTGCAAAGTAATGAAGTCTTGAGTTTTTAGTTAAGAAAATAGTTCACCTGTGATATTTTTTCTATAAAATTATGGCGGTGTATACCTTGACAGTTCAAATTTTGTTCAGATTTTGTTCTATTAACGCGTGAGAGGCGATATAATCTTGCCTAGAATTTGATCCAACTTGATTTTAGTCAAGCAATTTGTAACTAATAATTCGTTGCTAGACGCCCAGTACATTACTTCGTACTATACCATTGAAGGATTTTTTTACTGTGTGGAATAGTTTCGTAGCGTCTGGAGAATACATTCAAAAAATAATCACTTGAAAAAAATATATATATTTTTAAAGATGCTTTTTAGAATAGAATTTTTAATCATTTTATACATTTTTAAATTACCTAAATAGATGACTTATTCTTCAAATTTTAAGGAGCAGTCGGAACTTTCAAGATATGAGGATTTGAAAATTGTCAATTTGGTCAATCATCAAAAATTAAAGCGCGCTTTTTACCAGTTTTCTATTAAGGCAATATGTCAGCGGCAAAACAAACCGGCTCAGGAATCCTTTCCAATTGAGGAATTAAAGGCTTCTTGCCTCTAATAGGAACAGATCCTTTTGTTTTTGGGAGTAATATCTGCTTTCAATAATTTTTTGATATATTTTATCGTATTTGAACCAAAAACTACTTCAAAAATTTTAAAAGGAGGTCAAAAATCAGGCAGCTTTGCTCACGTTTTAGTAGTGCTTTTAGTAATCGCTGCGTCAACTTCTCTCCCTTTATACATTTACGAGAATTTTCCGAAAAACTGTTCATAGCAGCTTACTTGGATCGAAGTATCCGGTGATTGTCCAGTTGAGGGGGTCAAAGTATTCCTGCTCGATGATCTCCAACTCAGAGGGTCCATATCGATCTTCCCAAATCTCATCCACTGACGAAGACTGAAGTTCAAAAAAATGTAACCTTTCATGTAAAAGAAGTAAGAGTCAGCGTCTTGGTGCAACGTACATAAGACGACAGGACATTAGGACGACAGACATGATGTTGAGGCAAAAAAAAGTTAGCATTATAAAATTCACGATAAACTTATCAGGGGCGGATTATAGGGAGTGGGGGTGTCCCCCTTTGGTATTAATTTAAGAAATCCATTTTCGGTCGAACCTTAAACTCCTAATTTTTTCTAAGGGCGCCTTTGGCGCCAATATACTAATTTTGAAGGGGAGCGCGCAACGGCTTTTTTAATTTTTTTTTCAACAATTTGCCTGCGGCGCAGAAAATTTTGTCTCAAAGTAGTGTCTTTGTAATGTTCGCGGACCGCTCGAAAAATCAATTTGTTCGACCTAAACAAAGGTCGACCAATTTTTTTGACAAAAAGAGGTCGACGAAAAAGGTAGACAAAATGAATTTGCTTGTTTATGGCAATTTAAGTTAAGCCAAAACAAGCAAGATTATTGACTGACAAAAGATTGGGAGGACGCTATTAGCTCAATGGTCTAATTTCAAGCATTCGAAGCAAAAAAGTGACCCAAGCGTTGTGAAGCAAACTTTTTTCTGATTGACTTACAGAAGTCGAAAGAAAAACATTCAAAAAAACTACAATTAATATGCATAGTTCTTTCGCCTTGGATTTTCAAACCGCGAAAAATTCGGGTACCGACTCTTTAAGCAAGATAAAGTTTTTTTTTATAAAACATGGGGTTCAAATTGTTGATTTGGTTTTCGCTTCTGTTTTGACGAGCTCTGTTCCACTCTGTGCTACAAGATCTTTTGTAATTTTTGTGTTGATTCAGGATAATTTTTTGTTTCGTGTTTCGTTAAAACTGCAGACTGTTTGTCTCAGCATTTCTTACTATTCCTTGTTGAGTCGTTACTTATTTTTTATTCAAAAATTTTATTAGAAGTTAGCTTGTAAGCAAGCAAATCGGTTTGTTTAAATTTTAAAAAATTTAAACAGGTAACACTAAATTTTAAGGCAATAGTATATAAAGTTTGTTTATTCGTAAAAGTTATGACGATTTCAAGTACTTGGTATACGATATAGTACTCCGCAAAGTTCAAGCTTTATGTTTTCTTTTTTTGTATATGATCGTAGAAAACAAATTTTGAGTCAATATTTACTCTCAAGTATTTGGAAATTTGAACTTTTTCAAATGTTTTTTTATTCAATGAAATAATTTTTTTGATGTTTAGCAGGCAATCAATTTTTCCAAATTTTGGTGTGTTAAATTTGCTG